ACGATGTCCACAAAATCCAGTCACTTTTCCTCACTAATGGAGTAATACACTATGGCAAAGAACTTAAACAAAGAGATTTAAAATCACATTTCTTAAAATTTTGGAAGAATTTCATAATGTTTAGGAAGACTTCCTTGAATTTAAGAAGGTCTTCCACAATAACCTGCAGTCAAACTTCCACTCAATTGCTATCTTTTTATTGTCATCATCGGTTGTGCTCTATACTTGAATCATCAATCATTTGAGTGTAATGCCCTTGAATTAACTAATAACGTTCCTTGAATTTTCTCTTTATAAATGTACCATCAACATCAATCATTGTTCTCATCATCTTAGCTTCTTCTAAACATTTTTTTCGATAAATTATTGCCTCAAGGTATACATTGCATCTCTCTACATTGACAATCCATCTTTACAATAATAACACTAGGAAGCAATCACTACAAACGTTTCTGAAGATGGTCACAGATTCAACATGAAGCTTTAAAGGAAGTGATAATGGTCACAAACCTCCAGCAACAACGTCTTCCTCATAACGCCAAATAAGAGCAATCTCTAGAGGTTCATTAGTCATGTCTTTGAATGCTCTGCTTTGGTTGAGTTTTATCCAAGGAAACGCATCACTGTCCCCATCTCCTTAGTGGTAATGCAACATAGAAAATGAAATCAAGGATTAGAAAAAGTGAATCAAACTAGTGTCGCTCTATTAATCTTGAACAGAACAATTAAATTGAATTATCTATAATTATGGAACTCAAAACATATAACAAGCATGTCTCTGTAAAGAAGAATCTAAAGCTTGAAACCAAGATCCAACAATAGCAAAATCATATGCATTCACAAAAACGTTTGAAAGAGTTGAAGGATAAGAAAACAATATACGATCACCATCTTTATCAATAAGATTCTTAATCAGAGATATGATCAATGAACAATTATGTTGAGATGCGATTAGAATTGAGATCGAAACGATTCAATTCACAAAACGATGATGTCAGAGGAAGATATAGGAAGATGATGGTGAGGATTGACGATACCAAATAGACGATGATAATGAAGGAAGATGACCTTACAGTCAAGATGAAAGTGACGACGTGAGAGGAAGACTGAGACGACGTACATGACGGAGACAACGTACACGACAAAGATGGTGTCCTAGCTAGACGAAACCACCAGACCTCGCTGGAAACAACGTCGGAGTATGACGACAGATCTCGGCGGACAAAGATGGGACGATCGATCTCGGTAAACCCAAAAAACTTCATCCATTTTGTGTTCATACCACATGGATATAATGGTCTTTTTAATTATTCATTATTGGTATTATTAATAAATTAAGGAGTGTATGGTATTTTAGGAGCTAAAATTTTTTTGATGGCATCCTAGGGTATTTCTCTTATTAATAATCGAATCACTATTAATACAAAATCAGTTACAAAGAGTATATTCCATAAGTTAGTTTAAATAAACTACCTAAAATCCGAAATTTCCTTAAAATTATCTAAATATATTTATCAAATTTTAGGGAATCACTTTAAATTTTTGACAAGCTAAAAAGGTATTTTCTATGAAGAATTAAATTTACTAGCCCTAAAAATTGACACACTCTCCTCACTATATAAAGTCATACATTTCGTTCAAACATGGTATTTTGAGTTTTTTTTTCTTATGACTTATCGTTTACTATTTTAGTTCATGTTCTTTTATTCAATATGATGTATATTAATATGTTTTATTTTATTTTACAGGATACATGTATATAAAAATTAGCTACTTCTTTGGTTATCCATCACATCGCTCAAACAAGCAGAATCGAGATAAACTCCTTTAGCTTTCGCAGATATATGTCTGACTTTCTTCAACGGTTGTGTTTTTTACGTAATAATAGCAAGCTACTACACGTTAAGCGTTCAACAAAATGCATGACCAAGATACCCTAGCGTGGAACAACAACACCATGTTGACGAGCTATTCCCATTTTGGTCTATATCTATCATCAATTTTCACCCACTTGAGTTTCAAAATAAAATTTATGTTCTTTCCGTGACGGTGCCTCGAAAGAAACCCGCTAATTCACATGTATACTGCTCTAACTCTTAGCAAAAACAAAGTGTATCGAGATATTTGCAAAACATAGTGTAAAGGTCTTAAAACTAAAAAAAAAAACAAGTCATAAGTCAAGAGAAACAAATGCTAAATACAAAGCAAAACAAAGTAAAATACAAAGCAAAATAAAAGTAAAATACAAAGATATCAATAACTTAGTGCCCAAGTCATTTCCAATGTGATTCTTCAAAAATAAAATTGGAATAAAGCACCAACGTCGTTGTCAACGATCAAATGTTTCACATAATTTTTTAATTATAAAATTTAACAATCAACACATATATCCTTAAAATTCAATCAGCTATTCTTTTGTTCTGAGAGCTCCTCGTTTGCAAGCTTACTTAATAAGGCAGAGAGATCCTTTTGCATTCCTTTGATCATGTCTCCACGAAGTTGTCAATAAATATGAAGCCAGCTGTTGAATTAGAAACCTGTTAGACACCAAAATAAGAAAAAAAAAAATTGAAGGTTTCTATCAAGAGAACACAAAGGGTCCAAGAAAATAATAGCTCAAAAGAGTGATGGATTGAGGAACTTACACGCATAAGAAGTCGCATGACCCATTTGCGACAAAGGACAATAGGAATTGCTTGAGCATCTTCGCCATCTATTGTCTTCATCATTTATGTCACTTGGGTACGGAGGACATGGAGTTCAATTTTACGGGGGAAAGCCCTGTCGAGACAAAAAGAAAAGTGTATTACTATGTCAACAACTAATTGGGGATATATGTCAACGTAAAAAAAAAAAAAAATTGCTTACTCTTCTAGAGAGAAAGAGATGTCGAAGGCAAAATTTTGGAGCCACGCCTTTGCTGAACTTACCAAGGAGAATTTAGAAAATTTGTTCATTGCTTCAACCTAGTAACAAAGCTAGTTAGAAGATGACTAGTAACGGGATGGTGGGATATATGGTGCCCAGCTTTTTACTATAATACGTGATAGACTCCTTGCCGTGGATCTATGCTCCAAGGACCACTTTGATGGTTTTGAAATGGAAGTGGCGAGATTGATGGTGAATGATGGATAGATCTTGAACAAAACAGCGGAATGACGATGAATGAGGGTGATGCGAGATAGAGTGGATGCAGCGGAATGAAGGGGAGAATGAGGTGTACTTCCAAGAGGGATGAGAAACTCTTAGACTACAAGCTTGGATCCAACTTAGATATTACACACTAAGAAGAAAACAAGTTGAAAAGATATTACACACTTTTCGGATCAAACAAGTAAAGAGAGAGTTTTAGAATAAAATGTTTGATGTTTTGCAAATGAGAGATACATGGAGTTTATATAGAGAAGGGAGGACGAAGGAGAGGAGAGAAGACAAGAGAAAACATGCAAGAGCATGCACAAGTGTCTTGTAAATTACACTCATGCAAGCTCATGCAAGAGTCTTGGAAATAACAACAAGTAATAAATGCAAAGTTTGAAGAGAAAAGGGAAAATGGGACAAGGCTTTGTGAGTGGGCCTTGGACCACGAATTGGATTGATAAAGGGGCTTGAAAATGTTACTTAAGCCTCATTAAAAACCTTGTCAAGAAAACCCATTGGGACAAAACTTGACAAGGGAAAAAGAGTGCATAAGCAACACTTAACCCTTTACCGATCCTCTTGAGCCGTGATCACTATGAGTGAGGATTGAACGACCTCTTCTTGATTCTTGTTTAGCTCCTTAAGTAATCCATTGATGGCTTGGTTGAACTTCTTGGCTCTTGATCTTGTTAGAGGACCCGCCGGGGCGATCAATGCTTCCTCCGGTATAAGCTGTTACTCGTGTGGTTCAAGTGGATTGGCCATGATCTCATCAATACGGCTTACTAGAACTATTGAGGGACTAGAGCTTGATTGATGTGTAGCAACGTCATAGCTAAGCACTTGTGTACCACCACTAGACTGCAAGTCGTCATTGTACCCACCACCAGCTGAAGATGCTGCAAGAATAATCGGGGGCAGTTTTGTCGGCTATCTGCTCATACAAGAAAAAAAGAAAAAAATAAAAAGGTCACAAGAGGGAAGGGAAAAAAAGGTTTAGTTATTGCTCACAAAAGAGACTTGCTGAGTTACTAGTATGCTTCCGTGCACAAAGAAGAAATCCAATTGACGATTGGAAAGTAGCAACAAACAAAAAAATCATAGAGAACAAATTGATATAGAACGAGGAGAAATTTCAGAAAATTTGATGGAGATCTTCGAACCTTGTTCTTAGGTTTTGTTTGGAGTTTTCTGAAGAGGATGATTTTGTCGATCAGATCGTGAGCAATCGTCAACGAAATTTTTAGGGATTTGCCGACTGAAATGAAAGATTGAGAAAACTAAACAGAATATGTAAAAGAAGGAAAAGAGACAAACGGTTGAATCCACTACTTCTAAACGATTATATATATACTGTATATAGAATATTAAATAATAAAATGAAATGGGAATCTTGAATAGTTAAAAATTCATTACAAAATCTCTCAAATAATAATTATGGAGATAAGTTTCTTAATTATTCAAAATATCCACATCTAATAATTTATTATTCAAGATATCTATGTAATTACTCACTGTAAAACTACTGAGAGATGCTATATAATAAATATAGAATTTGTAGATGTAGAAGGACGTATCCTTGGTTAAGAAACACGTGTCACGGGGATTATATTAATTAATGTGTTATCCCACTCCGTAGGGTTAAAATGAAAATCATTAAATTTAGTTGATTTTTGATGACTTTTACAAAATTGAGACTTAATTTTGCATAATTTGGTGCAATAATTTAGATATCAAATTGTAAGTAATTTGTTGAATTTACTTGAACTTTTGAAATTAGTTATTTCAGTAAAGTTTAGACATATATTGGTTTTAAGTGACTGATAAACAATTAAGAAGACATATAGACGACGAAAGATATGAAGAATTCATCTTCTCCGATGTTTTTTTCTTCGTTACCGGAGGAGAACGTTCTCCATTGTTTGTCTTGTGCCTCGAGATTCTCTCTTCCAACTTTATCCTTGGTATCCTTATACTTACATTCCCTCATAGCTTCACCTGAGTTCAAAGCCACAAGAACACGCAACGGAATAACAGAAGATTACCTCTACGTTTGCTTAGACCTGAATAAGGAAATCCCTAACCCTAGTTGGTTCACAGTTTCCTTATTACCCAAGCAACAGAAACAAATACCCGTCCCTTCCTTTCCTCACCAACATCCCAAATCCTCGAGTGTTGTTTCAATCAGTTCAGATATTTATATAATTGGGGGACGTGCTAATGGAATGAGAAGCAATAGAGTCTTGCGTCTCGATGGTCAAATTCATCAATGGCTTATACTCCCAAACATGCTTCAACCTAGAGAAGCTGCAGCTGCTGATGTAATCGACGGTAAGATCGACGTGATTGGAGGCTTTGGTGCCAACATTATCCAGGACTGGGGAGAGGTTTATGATCCAAATAACCAAACTTGGGAGCCAATACTAACAACAACGCTAAATCTCGCCACTCAAGTGAATGTGGTGCCAGGTAAATTGGTAATGGGTGAAAAGGTCTATGCCATGAATGGTTTGATAGTTAACTTGGAGAATGGTATTTTCTTGTTTGATAACTCGTTGCGTCTAATGTATGTTTCCCATCAAAACCTTTTTTAGAATGATCCAAAGCAAGATTCGGTTTGAAGGATGGTTAAGGACTTGAAGAACTCTCTAAGTATCCATATTTCTCTAATCATTTTAATTCGGTCTCAAATCAAGAGGAGGAAAAGTAATAGTGTGGTGGAAGTCGATGGTGACTCGCTCTCAAGATCACCATTCTACTGAGGAGTGTAAAACGGACCTTTGGTGTGCGGAGGGAGACACGATTTAGAAGACGTTTTGGGTTCCGTTGATAAAAAAAGAATGTGTTTACCTTTGAGGGATGTGACCCTCGTTTTGATTTCTTTTTGCATTCCAAGATTATCTCACATTTATCCGAGGAGTTTTAGAAATCAAAGGTGGATTAAGAGTTAATACAATGAAAATGCACTTTAAAAAAAATATTCACACGAAAAGACACTTCCTAAATTTTGGAAAACTTCAACAACTATGGGAAAATATTGTGCACCTTTAGCCTTGCTTTATATTCATATTAACAAATTTGCCACTTCTTCCTTTCCAACTAGTTATTTACATATTTCATTTCTTTTTTTCTTTACTTTTTACACTTTTTATCCTCATTTTTTATTTATCTCTATAGACCGTTATAAATCTTTTGGTGTAAAACTTGTCACATAGATCTAATTTTAATTCAAGGTGTACTTTTGAGCTTTGTTTGCTTATTTATTTTTATTTTCTTTTGACGATTTTGCCCTTAGTTAAGATGGTGAGAGAAAAAATAAATTGTGAAATGTTGATAGGTTTAAAACCATTGGCTTGTAACTAGATAGAATGATCATGTGGCTATAATAAATCGCTCAAAACAAAAAAGTGTAACTAGATTTTAGTTTTATTAGCTTTGATAAGGACCGTTGGATTTCAAAGAGAGAGTTTAGATTCTATGGCTTATGTTAAGCGTGGATACCAAAGTAATAGAAAGAGATTATAGAAGTTTGGTTAGTGAAACAAATATAACAAAAGAAAATTTTAAGTAAAAATTAATAGTTTTTTTGGCACAACCGATTATAATTATTTTTTTCTACATTTTAAAATCCACTTTGATATATTTTAAGTGTATATTTCTATTAATTATTACCCTTCCGGTTTTAACATGGATGCATATTAAAGTATTCATTTTGTATTGTTCATTTGGACAACGTATTTTGTGATTTGGTGTCCATCAATTTTCTATGAATCGATTTGTATGTTAGTTTGATATTGTTCTAGATTTTCATATCCACACAAACCCAACCACAAAAACAACCCGCTAATGCTTTAAATACTAAACTCTAAACAAAAATAATGAATCTCAAACTTTAACCTTATCCAATTATATTTAACTCTAAACCAACCCATAAATCATAAACTACATCCTAACCCCTAAACCATAAACCTCAATTCCAAAACATGAAGTTTCTTACCCTTATCGACTCAAAAGCTTCATAAGGACACGGAGTTGCAACCTGAACCCTAAACCTCTAAATCCTATACCCTAAACCCTAAACCATAAACTCTATCTTTAAGCACTAATCCCTAAATCCTATACTATAAATCCTAATCCTAAAATCTGACCTTAAATTTAAATCTAAAACCAAAACCATAAATCATACGATACATCCTAACCTCCAAACATTTTAATGAACATCCGAGCATATCCACACTTTTATAACCACATGGATATAAATGGTCAAGGTGTCCATGAAATCAAGTCCAAATTGAATGTTATACTATGGATGGCTTATCATGGATTCGATATTATGGTTTCCATCAGCCATCATCATGACATTGGCCGTTACTATATCACTTGCATCTGAAAAATATCCATGTGTAGTTCTTTTTTTAACTTTTTAATATGAATTTTATACGATACAAATATTTACTCCAACCAAAGACAATACAGTTGAGAGATTATACTTTACCTCTACTTTTGCTTCATATACACAATAACACAAAAAGTGTTCCATAAGCCAAAAGAAACAAGTAAAAAGCAGATCCATCAAAACTTGTACCATATCGTTTTTAAAAATCTCAGCAAAACAAATAAGAGAGACTAACTCATGACAAAATACATAAAGCAACATCTTAAAATGAGTTAAAAGCCAATCCCATCTTCTTGAAGTATATATTATTACTTTCTCTTTATACCATTCGGAGTTTTCCTTTCTCTACCTTATGGTGGTTGTGTTGAGGTGGCTTTGTTGTTTATTATTGTCCACGAAGTAATGCCCACATTTTCACACATCCTTTTTATCCACGAAATTATGTCTAAGCGATGTACCCATATGGAAATCCGTAAAACTGAAATCATCTAGCAGTCCATTCTCATTAACAAACTAATCATGGTACCGTTAATAAACTATCCATTAGAGATTTTTACGTTAATTCTAAACTGTAAAAATCTAAACTTTCATAATGGATGCAAATATTGGAAACTAAACTTTGTGAAATAGAAGGCGTGGGAGGAGGGAGTGGAGTAGTCTATTTCAAAATCGATAAAGAAAATACGGAAAAATCCAAAGTAAATAGGAAAGAAAAAAATACCTATGAGGGAGGCGACTCTACGGAGAGAGAGCTCTCGAGATTTAGATCGAAGAGAAGAAAGAGAGTGGGAAGCAAAGGAATAAGAAGAAGAAGGCAGTTTGGAGGCTGCATCAAAAACAAAAACGAGAGATTAGAGATACTAGAGAGGGAGAAAAGGAGGATAGAGAGAGATTGGTTGCCAAAAAGAATTAATAATAATATAGAGAGATTTGAGAAACAAGGGAAAGAAAGGAGAGTGATGGTGTAGTAATTTTCTTAGCCAAAAGTATAGTATTAGCAAGAAGTAGGTGTAAAGGAGAATAGTTTGTGCAAAAGTGGGTGTGGGTGCTAATATCCCATCTTTTTTTATGTTCCCTACACTCTCTTTCACTTTTTTATTTCCTTTCTTCTCGTTAAACAATTCGATATATTTTTCTTATCTTATATCTCTTTGTTCATCTATATAAGATTATACCAACCATATATTCTTTTTATTTCCTGGGTTAGTTTCGATATACTAATTTACAATCCATATCAGAAAAAGAATTTGAGAAACAAAACAAAAAGAATATACAAAGGTATATCGTATATGAACTCGAGAAACGAAAAGAATATATAAATTTAATTATCGGATTTATATATTCGGTGGACGAAGACAAAATGTCCGTATGTACGCCTACACAGCGTCCACACTTTAGCCTACCACACTTTTTAATGGGAAATACGATTGGATCGGGGTCAATGGACATCTACCTTTTCAATATTAGAACACAACCTTTCCACTTACCTTTTAATCTACTTTCTTCTCATCTACACTTAAAACCCTAATACTTGTTTTGTATCCAACATTTACCATCGTCGAATACTTTCTTTTCCTCCATCGCCTTGACATTTTTTTGTGGAGCCAAAACTATTGTAACTGTTCGGAATTTGGTAGTGTCGATCGACACGAAGGGTAGGTGTGGATCGACACCAGCAAAATTGGGTTACACGGTTTGGCTTTGAAATCGTCGGTTTGACTCATATCGGTTTGGGAGCAACCCTAGTTTGACTTAAACTCGAGCAGCCGCCTTTCTTCTTCAATTTTTGTTGTTTTGTTGCTTTCTAAAAGAGATAAGAGGAAACTATGAGTGAAGGTGGATCCTAAGGTGCTGAAGGTTGGTTTCCTAAGTGTTATGTGTCATGTTCTTGGGAGTTCTAGCAAAGAGAAGGGGGTTTTTGTGGATATGAGTGTAAGGAGAGTCATGTCCTTCCTCTGTTCTCCTTGTTTCCGTCCCAGTTCATTCTAATAAAAAAGGTAAGTACGTGACCATGGTTGATCTGATCATGTTAAACCCTTCTAATTTGTATTTGATTGATTTAGATGGTTGGGAATTGTTTTGTGTGTCTTGTTTCTGTGTGTTTGGTTGATGTGTTTCCATGTGAATAGACCCAACCCGTTTTCTTTTTTTTTGGATCATGCATAACCGTATTAACCCAATTAAACTAGCTTAACCAGCTACACCGATCTAAATCAATATAAACAACTTAACCAACTATACCAGCTAAACAGGTCTAAATCAATTTTAACCAATTAACTAACTAAACCAAATATTTCAGAATAAACACTGTAACCAAGCAAATTCAATTAAACCAAATAGAACCAGTGTAAGACATTTGATTTAACAAAATAATAACAAAATCATAACAAGCAAGTCAACAATATTCAATACCAACCAACCATCATCCAAATATAAAATAAAACCCTAGCATGTTTCTAAATTGCATAACTGACATTCCTAGCAATAGTTCTAGTAATTATGCAGATCACCCAGCGTGCCCCTAGATCATCTTTCTCTCCTCGCCATGATTCCACGGTCAGACCTTTCCTTTACCTGCATCACAGAAAGAGATGCATAAGTATTTCCAGAAATACTTAGTAAGGTGATCCTCCCATATATGAACTATACACACAAGCAATGTGATAACAACCACACATATAATATAACCAACCAAAAAGACAAACATCCAATGACACTTCCAATTCACCTACAAAATTATCACAAACAAATCACACAATCCCAATCGCTTAGATAAGCTCATGGTCACGCACTCACCTTAACAAGCTGACTGGAATAGGAAAAAAAACAGAAAATAACTCCCCTTGAGACTGCAACAGCCCAGCAACACCCTACAACAAGCCACACAAACAAAAATGCCCTTGAACCAAACAGGACAAAAAACAAAAGAAACAAACAGCCATAAAAACGAAGCCCTAAAACGGAACCTAACCGTTGACTTTCAAATACCTTCGCTGGAAAGCACGACCTAGACGTCACGAAGCTTCCCACAAAATTTTGTGCCGATCAGATAACCGATGAAACCACAATCTGATTTACAAACTCCCCTGATCCCAGTTCGCGAAGAAGATTCTCACTAAACTGCACATAACTTACTGAGACTTAATCCGAATTCACTTCTGTCAAAAGGAGAATCAACGTACACGCCTTACGAACAAC